GGATCAAACTCGGGACCTTGTGCTTGTGAGGGAGGTGGTGGCACCACTAAGCTAAATCCCTGGCATTTAAAGGATATATTATGGTTACCTTGACTTAATAGATGAGGAAACTGAGGCACAGAGTCACATGGCCTTATAATAAGGGAGCTGGGAACTCCATTTCCAAGTCTGTGCTTCTATGGAACTCTAGGCTGTGCTACCTATATCTTTGGTCACACAAGAGTCACAGACCCAAAAGATTCAGACTATAAACTACTACGTGAGCTTGGTGCATGAGCATTACAATAGCGGTTTGGCCAAAGTAAGGCCTGGAAAGATCTGGCCAAAATATTTAGCCTTTTAAGAAATCCAGTATTGTCAAATAATCTTTTAGGTAAGGGAGAGTGGCAGATTGTGGTTTCTAAAGATGGTTGCAATAATATCTTCTTCCTCAATACATTCTTACAGTATGAAGTTGATACTCCTGTCATTGATAAATGGGACAGATAAATTCTATCTCCAGAATCTGGAAGACTTGTAGCAAAAACAGAATGACACTTCATAACTTCCAAGGGCTAACTTATAAATGTTGACAGTTTCTTCTTGGCTCCTTTGAGTGCTTGTCCTTGGAAAGCAGCCATCATACCATGAAGAAGCCCATGTGGAGGGAGAACCAGGCCTCTAGCCTCCAGCCCGCTGGGCTCCCAGCTGACTGGCAGCACCAGCTTGGAGGCGATGGGAGTGAGCCAACTTGCAAGCAGATCCTTGAGCCTGGCAGCCTGCCCCAGCTGATTCCAAATGAAGCAGAGACCAGCTGTCTCTGCTGAGCTCTACCCAAACTGCAGGTTCAAATCAAGAGAATGACTGCTGTTGCCTTCTGCCCCAGAGTGTTGAGGTAGCTCGTCACACAGTGGTACACGATGGCCACACAGGGAGCTACGTCTCTTGTCTAATCTGCAACAGACTCCTACATGGTCTCCAATTGTGAGTAGTCTGGGAGGAAGCCATGCAAGATTCATGAAAAAGACTTGGCTTAAACTGGAAGCCCCATCCTCTCATTATGATTTAGAGCCAACCGGGACTCACACAGCTGACTCCTGTGTCCCAAGCTTTGCTGCTCCTGCATCTAAGGCTAGGTGGTATGCAGGGCCTGTGTTCAACAAAGACCCTATGTGGCAGGAGCTGGAACAACAACAGTGCTCTCCAGGGAAAGGAGCTGATGACCTTCACCCCAGTAGTTCCTGGGCAGGCACATGCCTTGGAAGCCACAGGACTTTGAGCAGAGGTAGCTTCTGTTTAGTCTGGAAACACAAGCAGGTAACCAGCATACCTCGTATGTGGAATGGACAAGTCTAATATCAACACAGCCATTAGAATACCAGGCATGTTTACTTCCATAGAATAGAGATGTGAAGAAAGGGGCTTTTTTCTTGAGAATACTTGGCTATCTGGCCCACAAGTCCTATTGCCACCTGCCAAGCCCAGGGCCAGAGGGTTCGGGACAGAATAGAATGCTAGGGTTTTCTGTATTTCTAAGATGAGTCAGGAACAGGGGAGGAAGGAATTGAGTAGTAATAGCTCAGCCTGCCATGCCCTGGGGCTGGATACAGGAGGCTGGTGGTTTGATGAGGTTTCTGGAGCCAGGGTCATGTGTTTGAACCCTGAGGATGCTGCAGTATTTTCTTCTTTCTTCTTTCCCTGCCCCAGTCCAAACCAGCTTCTGTCTCCCTCTGAGACAAGAGGCAGGAGTGGGTGGGATGAGTCAGAGCCATCTCTATTTATCATTATTCCTGAATCTCAGAGATTATCTCTCTTACAACTTCCTGCCAGGATCAAATTCCCTCAGACGAATTCTTGGCAGAAACTTGATTATGGTCCCAGGGGACCACCCTAGGAGAGACAGCTCATCCACTGCCCAAGAGTTAGGAAGTTCTTCCTCCTGATGGATCAAGTTTTCTTTCTCTTGTAGTTTTCCCCTATTTGTCTCCTTTCTGCTCCTTTGCTGCCCCCAAATAGCTCACCTCCTTTTCTTGCTCCTTGGTGGATTTGCAGAGACTTAACCTAGACTCTAAACCTACAACCACCCACCCCAACTCTCTACTTGTCCTCCCATAACCCAGGATGTCACTGTCTAAGTCCTGTGGGATTGTTTCTGGAGCTGCTTCTTAGGCTATCTGAGTCATCTACACCCATCAGCATCACACCCACATAACCTGCTAATTGTGGGGTGGTGGTCAAAGTTGGGGATCTTAGATTCTTCAGGAGAAAAGCAACTATTCTGGTGATTACAGCTCAATTCTATCATAATGTCTGACCCTCATAGGGTTAACAAGACCCACGGGCACAGAGGAGGAATCTCGCTTATAGGGGCAACACAACATGAGGTCGTAGCAGTGCACCTGGGAAGGTCTCCAGACCTCTTGTCAAAACAAGCTCAGTCATTTCCTCATGTGCTCAGCTAGATTCTGAGATCTGAGACTGAGTCTTCTGTTCCTGATCTGTGCTCAAGGGTACTATTGTAGTTGTTTGCTCCCATGTCTCTTTTTTTTCAGTGGTTTAACTGTTCCATTGAAACGAAGGCTGGTTTTGGCTTCTCCGGGTGGTTAGAGCCTCACTCAGGGCCCAGACATAGTAGCTACTCAGACGAATAAATGCACATTTCTCCTTGTCCCTTGACTGGAGTATGACAAGGGAGCTGACACTCACCAGCATTCTGGGCACACCCCACCCATCAGCTGCTCACACCCACCCACCTCATCATCCTTCTCTCTCAAGCTGTCATGTCCCGAAACTTGCCCTGCCTTCCTAACTTCCTTCTCCCACAATGCCCTGTGGCTAGGAGGAGGGGGCCCTTGTGGCCTCTTGTTATGGGGGGTGGGGGGGGGCGCGGAGCTACTACTGACTCCTGCTGGGCACCGGGGTAAGATTCTTCCTCTCTCTGGCCTTTAGTTGTCCTGGCCCTTAGTTTAGAGTGGCCCTTATGGTTTGGAGAGTCTAGGGTTTGCCAAAACAAGCACCTCTGATACTTCCAAGGGTTCTACTTGGCCACCCTCTCTAGAGGGTGCTGAGGAGGGGATGGTCAACACAATCCTGGGAGAGGCAATATCTGATCTGGGACCCTTCTAGTTGGG